ATGAAGACATACTCAGAATAGGCAAAGGAGAGGAAATAATGTTTAGGGGCTTGACTGTCTAATGGATATTAGTTTCCCCTGCCTACTATTGTATGACTTTTAAGTGGTATATAAAGGAATATTGGGAAATATGATTACAGAAAGCCTGTCTTCAGCCTATAACTGATTGGCTTACCTAATAGGAGGACGAGAACTTGCCCAGGGAAAAAGACATTTTGCTAAGCCTTTGCGGAGCATGGGACCTTAGGTGAAATTCTAAGTCCCACCCAGTACCTTCCCACTTGAAAAGACAAGTGGACCAATCCAGAATGGCTAGAGAAACAGAAGATACTTCTTGAAAGACATAGCAACAGAAAGAAAAAAGGAGACAGTTTGGCTGTTACAATATCAAGCAAAATGTTTAACTTGGAGCCATCCAGAATGAAACTCAAAGAGAACACATGAGCATTCTTGTAGGCTCGCTGGTGACCGCTCTGGTTAACTTGTGAATATAAGTGGGTAAAATAAAGACATGTGCTAAGTTTGACCATGTTCCATAGACACCTGATGACCTCAAGATGTAAGAGAGAAGAGCAAGGGCTGGCTGGTTTGAAGTTCAGGGAGAGAAATGAACTCCAGAGCCCACAGACACTGACCTCATCCCATAACACCAAGGACTAGAGTTAAGAGGGAAGCGGCCAGGTGGTCTGAAGTTGCAGAATTCATGCAAAGCTCCCAAACTTGCAGATAGTACCCATTTGACCTAGCTTGGATGGCTTACTGACCAGAACTCAATAAAATGAACAAGTGTAAATTGCTACATTTTGATGAACTGGACCTTTGCTTATGGATGTAGTTTCCCAAAATTCCAACTGAAATGGAAGGATCCTTCATATCAAAGATCAAGCTTGTTTCCTCCGTGTAATGGGTTGATAAGAAAAGGTAACTTAGACTTTGGCTATCAAAACTTGGGGGCTATAAAGGCATGAAAGCTTATAAGCTTTCATGAGAATGCTTAGTGTCAGAATGAGGAAGGTACAATAGAGTCCTCACTGAGCAGTTTTCCTCTTGTCCAGATGGGTCTGGTGAAAGAGGATAGGAGATGATGGGATAGGGTTTTATGTTTCAATTATGAATAATTGTTATCAGGACTAATGGCTAATAGTCACAACTATAAATGTAGAAAAGGTGTAACTAAAACAGAGGAGCAGTTAATCTGTCATTTAAGGAACAGAGGACCCTAGGACCATCACGAGGGAAGAGCATGAGTAAAACATGAGATCGTAACCAGAAAAGCAGACAACAGAGATGGTGGCAGGAAGAGACAGCTCAGAGAGACAGAGCTGCTGAGGACTCTAGGTCCATGGACTGAGGAAAGCAGTGTGCCTGTGGGCAGGAGCCTGGATTGCAAAGTGTGCTCTTTGGACACTTAAATATATTTTCAGTGTGGTATGTGTACATCAAAAATGGAAAGGGGGGTAAAAATTGTTAACTGATGGTATATGGAAGGGATTGTAATAATTGCAATGATTTGTTTAATATAAAACTGATGCTCCGCCCTGTAAACCTTCACTCAATTCAAAATAAAAACTTAAAAAAAAAAGCTGAACAGAAAATTTCAAAGGGCAGTGACTCGAAACAGTAAAGTAGGTAAAGTATTATAATGAAATGTGCTAAGACCTGGAGGAGTTACAAAATCAAAAGGGAAGAAACTGTCCAGCATTTCTAAAGCTAAAAGAACTGAAAAAAAATTTAATACTCAAAGGATTCTATGGGCAAAATGGAGCCCTCATGTGGCACCATAAAATAAGCACTCAACGTCAAGGTCGGTTTGAACTGCAAGGTCAGTGGTTCACACTCAGCAGCCATTCCTCAGAAACCATATACAGAGTTGCTATGAATCAGAACCAACTCAACAGCACACAACAACGTGGGAAAAACTGTTGATGATGCAAGAAGCACCAAAAGAAGACGAAACGAATACACAGAGTCACTATGCCAAAAAGAACTGGTTGACGCTCAACCATGTCAAGTAGCATATGATCACGAACTGATGGTACTTACAGAAGGCCAGACTGCACTGAAGGCAGTGCTGAAAAACAAGGCTCCGTGAACTGATGGAGTACAAACTGAAATGTTTTTTTTAAAACAGCTATTGCAGCTATAGAATGCTTACTTATATATGCCTAGAAATTTGGAAGACAACTATTTGGTCAACTGATTGGAAGAGATGCACATTTGTGCCCATTCCAATGGTGACCCTATGAAATGCAAAAATCTTCAAATGTCATTAATTTCATATACAAGTGAAGCTTTGCTGAAGATAATTCAAAACCAGCTGCAGCACTACATGAACAGAGATCTGTCACAAAGTCAAGCCAGATTCAGAAAGCATACCATGGCTGATGTCAGATGGATCTTGGCTGAAACCAGAGAATTCCAAAAAGATGTTCACTTGTGCTTTATTGACTACGCAGAATAACACTGCTAAGAATGAGTATTTCAAAACACTTCATTGTGCTCATGAGGAACCTCTCCATAGACCAAGAGACAGTTGTTAAAAAAGAACAAGGGGATACTGAATGATCTAAAATCAGGAAAGATATGTGTGCCAGGGTTGTAGCCTTTCATATATTCAATCTGAATGCTGAGCAAATAATTCGAGAAGCTAGATTATAAGAAGAAAAACATGGCATCATGATTAAAGGAAGACTCATTTATAACCTGTGATATACAGATGATACAACCTTGCTTGCTGGAAGCAAAGAGGGCTTAAATGCTTATTGAAGAAGACCAATAAATAATATCATGAAAAACAGATATGACTGAATTTGTCAAAGACTTCATGTTGCTCAGACCAGCCTTCAACACTCATGGAAGTAGCAGTCATGAAATCAAACAACATATTGCAGTAGGCAAATCTGCTGCACAAGACAGCTTTATGTTCAAGAGCAAAGATGTCAGTTCAAAGACTAAAGTATACTTGACCCAAACCATGGTATTTTCAGTAGCCTCATAAGCATGTGAAAATTGGACAATGAATAAGGAGACCAAAGAAGAATCAATGCATTCGAATTATAGCGTTGTATTTGAATTACTTACTTTAAAATTTGCCTTACTGATGGACTGAAAGTACCATGCGCCACCAGAGCAACCAACAAATTTGTCGTAGAAGAAATATATTCAGAATGTTCCTCATAAGTGAAGATACTGAGACTTCGCCTCTCATATTTTGGATTTGTTGTCAGGAGGGACCAGGCCCTGGAGAAGGACATCATGCTTGGTAAAGTAGAGGACAAATGAAAAAGAGGCAGACCCCAAACAAGATGGATTGACACAGTGGCAGCAACTATGAGCTCAAACATAACAACAATTGTAAGAATGTTGTAGGACTGAACAGTGTTTCATTCTGTTGTGTTAGAACCGACTCAATGGTGGCACCTGACAACAAATAACAATATAACAACAGAGGCAGAGCCTGGTCACCACCAAGTGATTTAGCACATGGCTCTAGAAATTACTGTGCTATAAAACCAAAAGGACTTATACAAGACCTTATGTTTCAAAGAACCAAGTGATATTTGGAATGGAATCCCTCCACAGTCCTTGGTCATAGGATGCCTTTTTTGTTTTCTGTGCCAGACTACATATTTATACAATTTTCTTTTCTTTTCTTTTCTTTTTTTAAATTAATTTGCTAACCTAGAAGTATACATTTTAGGGATTATATCATTTTGTACTTCAGAAATTAGAATAAATAAACTTCAAAGACTAAGTTTGACAACTCAAAGAATATCCATTTAAATTACTTACTTAAAAATCTCCCTTATTCATGCATATAACATTAAAGTATATATTTTTATAAATGAGTTTTAGTCAAAAAGTTTACCAAACTTACTAGACCACTGAGCTAGACGAATCCCTAAGACTTGCTCTGAAATATTCTTTAAACTTCAAAATTATCCATTGAAGTTACCTTTAAAGTAAATAATTGTTGTTGTTGTTGTTGTTAAGTGCCATCGAGTCGGGTCCGACCCATAGCAACCCTGTACAGGGTTTCCGAGGGTGTAAATCTTTACGGGAGTAGAAAGCCTCATCTTTCTCCCACGAAGTGACTGGTAGTTTCGAACCGCTGACCTTAAGGTTCGCAGCCCAATTCGTAACCACTATGCTACCAGAGCTCCTAGCTTAGCTCAAAAAGTAGATTGTCACCTTTGAGTATTGTTCTCTTTTTAAAAATGATCTGTTCTTGTTATTAAGGGCTTTGAGTTGGTTCCGATGCATAGCGACCCTGGATAGAGTTTCTGAGGAGTGGCTGGTGAGCTTGAACAGCCAACCTTGCGGTTCAAACCGACCTTGCAGTCCAGTGCATTAACCCACTGTGCCACACCATATGTATGTGGGGGACTAAATGGACAACAGTTCCTCTAAAGCATAGATGAGAAGTTTGTGGGGCAGTGACTTTAGGTTACAGGGAGTTACAAAACTAAAGCAGAAATAAAGAGAATGTTGACACACTGAAAAATGTAACGAATGTCATTGACCAATATGTGCAAAAATTGTTAGAGCATGTTTTGCTGTGTATATTTTCACTAAAATAAAACATTTCTAAACTTTTTAAAAGTTTATCAGAACAATAAAACTATGTCTTTTCAAATTATATGCATATGATAAAATTATATAATTTCTCATATTTGGGACTATGCATTTTATTTTTTTAATTCTCCGGATTATAATTCAAGTTCACCTGTGTTCAAGCCACACCAAATTCAAGTTCAAAGTAACCAAAGATATAACTGTAGTGCATAATATACAGTATTATTAAAATTGTGAGATGTCTTCTTGAATAAAACATTTGTGATAAAAAAAATATATACCCTCAAATATTGTACTTGGAATCTAAGACAGTCTAGAAAGTTCTTCCTTCCTATCTATGTCCAGAAAGAAAGGACTACCTCTGATGCATAGCTGAGAGGAGGGAGAGCCACTGATCCTTCCCTTGGGGTGGGCCATGTCCTTACCTCTCATTTCCGTAGCTGAGGAGCCATTGGACCATGCCATCCATTTATTTCTGTGCCTGCTAATTTCCTGGACTTTGCAGATGTAGTGGCCCTGATCCGTGGACCGGAGGATCAACACCGAGAGCCTGTACAGTGCCCCACGCTGTTCTTCAAGGAGGTGCAGCCTCTGCCTGTTGACCCTGCGGCTGTAATTGCCGTAATACTGCACCACACTCAGCTTGGTCATCTTAATCATCAACGTTTCCTGGGTATCCGATAATGCAAAGAGCCAGCGCACAGCCAACAGGCTGTCTCTCCGGCGCTTCTGGGACACATGGCAATAAAGAGTGGCATTGTCCCCTTCCAGGAAGTCCACCACAGGCCCTGGAGAAACAGTGACGTTGAGGGCCCCACAGACTTCTGCAGAGAAAAGAGAAGGAGGAAGGTCAGGATCCTGTCTTTCCCTTAAGGAAACAACGTCTTCTCTTGAGGAGGAAGGAAAGTCCCAAGGTGGTGAACGGGCCTGATGACCTGCACGGCCAGGAAGGCAGGCTATTCAGTGCCCCAACATTCAATGCCACCCTTCATGATGACGAAGGCAGGATGGAGGTTTCCAGGGTGTTTGCTCTACATTGATTCCAAACACTGGTACCTGGACCCAGACAAATACTTTGAGTATTTTTTAGTTATTTATAAATTATTTATTTATAACTAACTTAATTATTTAGAAATAGTTTTGATGTACTCATGTTTAGAATTCAAGAGATTTCACATTGAAACACTTTGAAATTTTTCAATCTATATCCCATAGCCCCCTATTCTTCCTCGGTGTTCCTGACAAACATGGCACCTGACACAAGGCAGCACTGTGGGTTGCAGAACTGCCCTGGTACAGGGAAAAGCCATCATAAATGACACTTATCCACACTAGGTCTTCCTGTTCTCTGGGCCTGCCTTTCCAAGCTCCTTTCCCAATCGCAGCTATTTCAGATGTAGCCCAGACAAAGAATCAGGAACAGCCCGGTGGAACATACAAGTACCACAGCTGGGATGACAAGAGGTTCTCAGTTCTTACTTTAGAATCCAGATCTATGGTAGGGGTAGGGAACTGCTTTTTGGCCGAGGGCCATTTGGATATTTATAACATTGTTGTTGTTGTTAAGTGCCATCAAGTCAGTTGTGACCCATAGCGACCCTGTATAGGGTTTCCAAGGAGCAACTGGTGAGCTTGAACCACCAACCTTGCAGTTCAAATGACTTTGTGTTCTGGCGCATTAACCTACAGCACCACACCAGGACTCCATTTATAACATTGTTGTTGTTAAGTGCCATCGAGGAATCCTGGTGTGGCATTGTGGGTTAATGTGCTGGACTGCAAAGTTGGTTTGATCTGCAAGGTCGGTGGTTCAAGCTCACCAGCCACTCCTCGGAAACCCTATACAGGGTTGCCATGGTTTGAAAGCAACTCCACAGCATTGAACAACAACAATATAAATTTATGTTGCTATGAACAACAACAATATAAATTAATGTTGCTATGAAACAAGTTCCTAGATTTATTAAATTTCATGTTCTGCTTGCAGTTGCCTTGCTGGATGTTGCCCACTCCTTATCTATGGTCTCAAGAGTTGAAGCACAAGGATCAAGAATCAACAAGCTCCAGAACCAGGGAGGGATAAGATTCTCCAACACCCCAAAAGATGCTTCTGAGGTCCAGGCCCAGCCACCACTTTTTTTACCTTCTTAGTTAGAACGACCCCAAAGACTGACCATTCCAGCATCTGCTCTGCTCCAAAATTGGCCCTGGGTGGTGCTACTTCCATGTCAACCCACACCAGCCAAAGCAGCTGAGTTTCAGAGCATTACTGTCTCCCAAAAGACAACATAAATGGTGTCTCCAAGATTAGGTCATGTGACTGGGCTTCAGGGAGATCACAGAGGTTCAGTGCCATATATGAGGGAGAGGGGGGAGGAGATGGCATCTAATGGGCAGCACGAGAGGCTGGAGCTCAGAAAAGGATGCTTTGCAAAGGGTGCCCCAGAACTGCTTTCTATCCCAGCCCATCTCCATCCCGAAAAGTGCCATTCGTTGATCAGCCCGGGATGCTTCCTAAAGGTCACCTTCTAGTCACATAAGGGGCCTACATTTCATATGACAAAAAGTCTCTGAAGCCTTGTGCTTCAACTACACAAAGGGAAAGGATAAAAGAGATGAAGATTTGAACACCTGTCAAGAAGACACCCAGTCAACAAAGTTGAGGCTCTTTTGGGGGTGGGGGTGGGGGAGAAAGTCATAAAAAGTATGTATTCTTCCTTGTGGTGTTCAGACTGAAAGAAAGTCAGTATCGGTAAACAGGAACCATCCCATTTTATGGTCTTCACTATTGATTTAATAAATACCTCGAGAGAGATGATTTGGGAGTTAGTTTTCTTCGTCATCTCTCAGAAGCCAGCCCACCAGATAATATAAAATAATCCACCTATCTCAAGATCTTTAACTATCACATTCACACGTTTGTTTTTGCTATATAAAACAGGATGCTGGGGAGCAGGCAGTATTTCATTCCACTGTGCATAGGTTCACCATGAGTCAGAACCTAACATGTCAACAATTCATTTACAGCCTATGGAAATTAGGAGCTGAACATCTTTGAGGAACATTATCCATCCTCCCACATCATAATAGTATTTTATTCGCTGAAAAAATCATAGACAAAAATATATTTAGAAGAAAGAGATCAATGATAAACTAGACTCCAAGTTCTTTGTGGGTAGAAAGAATGGTCTCATCTGTCTATAGTAATGAAGGGCAAAGCAGGCCCAGAGATTCTTGGGAAATACTTGCAGTTCAGCAGGAAAGAGAATGTTATCTAGTACCCACCTCACTGTGAACAGAGCCATGCAGGGCAAACGAAGAAAGACTGCCCCTCCATTATCACCATGCATCCCACCCAATTTAAATCAACAGTCAGTCTGGGGGGCCTCCTCCTGATTGCTGAGGACCTATCTGAGGTCTACACTGCCCCTCCGGCCTGTCCAGTTAGAAGAACAACAAGTGATCCCAGGCTAATAGGGCCTCAAAGTCAGAAAGCAAGCAGAGGGAAGCAGAAACACAGCTGTTGGTTTCCAGAATCTCAGTTCCCACCGCCCCCAAAGGCTCCCCACTGGAGTCCAGAGAGTTAGAGAAGACAGGAAATCGCAACAATGTAGGTGGGCTGGGCCTCCTAGTATCACTGCATGAAGGAATGATTAGTTAAAATGATTAAAACCAGGAGAATGTACCAAGTGCTTCAGTCCCCATGGAAGGTCAGTTTCCATGCTGGAGAGAAACCAATAACTCTTGGACTTCCAAAGCCTTACATAGGAGCTCTTGTAGAGTTGGGATAGACTGACTGAACTATCTCTCCAAGATGAGCTTTCGGTTGCATTTTATCCATGTACCTTTTTACCTTCACTTCTTCCCTCATTCTCTTGGCATCGGTTTCTCTCACTGAGGTGCAAAGGCCCTGTGCACAGAGAGGTTCATTACAGCCCATACATCTATCTATCGCCAGCACAGCTACCTGCCTCTACTTTCAACACCAGGTGTTGAAACTGTGATACTCACAGCCCCAAAGGGTCACAAAACTTTGCCAGGAGACACAAGCTCCAGGATTGGCGGGTCGCCTTGGTATCTGTTATGAGCTTTCCCAGCAAAGCTGATGTTCTAAGTAATGCCCTCACCCTTGGTATAGGAGATGGCAACTTTTAACCCCCTATGTGGCTCCTATGCACATAGCTGGGAAAGATGGCACATAGACAGTGGAGAAAATGTATTAGCTGATGGGCTATTCATTTAGATATTAAGAGAAAGGAACTTGGTGTTCACTATTGCTGTCATGGTTTGTGTTGTGCCAGTTTTTATGTCCCCCACAAAAAACTCTCTCGCATATGCAATCAGCAGAAGCGTTTATTGATCTCTTCACAGCATGCAGTGGGTCAACCATCTGAGCTGATGGCGACCCCAAAAGCAGGCACGCAGGCCTTTTTATAGGCAGTCAAGGGAGGAGCATTGATGACATGTAACGAGCTGATTGGCTCTTATCTAGGGAGGGCTGCCAGCTCAGTGGGTTGGTAGTTCGGGAGGATTTGAGGGGGGAAAGGGGGAATGCCTTTAGGGAAGGGAAACTGACTTTTTCTAGTTGGGGTTTTTTTGGTATTTTTTTTTGGGGGGGGGGAGGGGTTCTTCAGTTTGTCCACTAAACTGCATCATCGCTGTGTCCCATGAGTATCGGCAAGAACAGAGGCCTACCCTGGCCCCCACCCAGGAAACCCCCACAAAGAGCTCATGTATTTGCCAAAAGTCTGGATGATGCCTTAAAACTTGTTGAGCAGTAAGAATTAGGGAATAAAGTAGACATAGTTTGGATAGTCGGAACCGACTCCAAGGCACATAACAACAAAAGTTTGGATAGTAGAGGCAGCTCTGTGTACAAGGATACCATGAATCAGCCAGACCATATTAGACTGCTTGTGACAAGGATCATGCAGGAATTTGAAACTGACACATTTTTTTCTTGAAACTGATTTAGAGAAATACAAACTTCTCCCAGACTACCCAGGTGTTCTTTCTGATGTCCAGGAAGAGAAAGGCATTAAGTACCAATTTGAAGAATATAAAAAGAATGATTAGTATGAAGCCATCTCCTGAGTTTCTTCAAGTTGTTCTCTTCCTCTACAAAAAAATATGTATTTTAACATTACGAAGAAGGTTTTGTTGGCTTTCAATGTGAGGATAATTGTTTCTAAGCAGTGTTTTTGTTTTTTCCTCCATCAATCCTAAACAGACTATCAGATAACATTTGTGAAATGTTTATTATAAATACCTCAAGGGCCATGATTGGGTCTGTAACTGCCAACGCATACAGGTGTGTCTGCTAAGACAGCCAAAAGTGAGAGAGCCCTTGGTAACATGATCCAACATCAAGGCCTACAGAGATAGGAGTTAGATAGATTAAACCAAGTTGTGGAACTCCATTACAAACAGAAAGATTGTAGTTCAAGCTTGGATTGCGAGTTATCCATGAGTATGTCTGGTAAAAGTTCTTTTCACGCTGATGATATCAATGAATTGAGAACTCCAGTACATTAAGTAGAGATAGTAAAGAAGCAGTAAGAAGACTTTTTTTGATGATAAAACAGAAGAAAAGGTCTGAGACCTTTAAAATTTTTGCTTCCATGAAATTCTATGGGATGTTGCTTTTTAAAAAAAAAAAAAAAAAAAAGGATTCTAATAGCAAGCATAATGATTAAAATTTTAAATTTTAAGATCTAATGAACTGGCAAAAAATCAGGCTCCAGGAATTGACAGAATATATATTGAAATCTTTCAATGAACTGATGCAGCACTGGAAGTGCTCACTAATCTATGCCAAGACGTT